CCAGATTAAGCCCACGGTGGCTTTGTGCAAAATGCCATCACCCTAAATCTTTTGCATTATAAACTTTGGAGTCTGTTGGTCATTGTTGCTTCGCAAGAAAACAGAGCCGGCTCTCCCTCTGACTTCTACTTTGGGAAAAAAAACAAACCTTTCCAATCAAACTCTAAAATTGGTAAGAGATGAAATGCGGCTGTTTAAAAAACAACACTTCGTTAAATATATAAAAATAGTTGTCTGTATGATCTACCTCCTGCTTGAAAAAAAATGGCTGACCTCCATATTTGAAAGTAATTGAAAACCAGCATAGAATTTCATTCTGTTTTTATTTTAGTCCCACTCAGGTTTCTTAGGAGTCAATATCAGTGGCTCGTGGGAGTTTCTACACCATGAAACTGCACCATGAAAGCTCAGGTCCTTAGTGTTTTCTGTGCTTGGTTTTTTGTACACTGATGGCATTATCTAGTTGGGTCATGAAACGTCTGCCAAAAAAACAACCAAGCTCAGAGCTACTCTATGTAAACAGGGAGCAATTCACACTCACTGGCACTGATGATGTTACCTAGTTGGGTCATGAAGCGTGTGCAAGAAAAACACTGAGCTGAGACAGCCCCAAGGATCCCTCATATCAATCCTGAACTAACAAACATTCTTGTTGGTCCGATTGCAGTGGTGCTTATAATTAATTAATTGTCTATCTGTTAAAAAAAAATGCATGCATGAAGTATGTCTCCCTTTTAAAGAGAAAAACATGGGAGACAATTTTTGGGGTCTTGTGAAAGTAAGAATCATGTGACGTTATGTTTTTGGGAGAAGATTTGGGAAAGAGGGAAAAAAAAAACCCAAAACCCTCCCCTCCGTTTATTTCTGTTTTCCCTAATGTTTTATCTTGTTTGTTAGGAGGTGTGAGTCAATGGCTTGAATTAATTCTAATTACTAGAGAGGCATATCCTGATTGAGCAAATAAAATAGTATGCTCATTTGGGCCAAGGCCATCTAATTAAATGCTAACTTTGGATAAGCTGGATGTGCGTGAAAGATTAATTTTTAAGAGGGTTTTTATGACTCACTAAATAACGATTCGGTTAAAAATCTTTCGCATTATATATCATTAGGCCATCTAATCTTAAAGTGTTATAACATTAAGTCACCCAACTCCATTGTAAAGGAAGATGTGGTAAATCATGTTTATTAACAAATTAATCATATTTTTTCCCCCGCCAGCAAGTAAGTGTATCTGCTATATTTGGTTCTCTGCTGAGAATTAAACCGAGGCTTCACTGGGAGGTTTCAAATGGATTTTGGTGCCACAAATGGAAAACGGGGGGATTGGATTATAAATTGGAATGCTCACTTTGAAATCCAAGGTTCAAAAGCTTTGGACCCATTCAGTGGTTATCTCTGAACTGTCATTTTTAATATCGCGGCAAAAGAAAATTATTAAATGCACAGGGCGCAGTTGTCCTGCAGGAATTTGATTAATTCATTTTAATGTTCATTAAACTTTCAATTCAATTAAACGGAAAGAGGATTGAGTTCCTGTGTCTTTGTCCCGGCTTTTGCCGGCTTTTTGGAGCGTGGCCCCAGTATGACTCCAAAGATCAGTGAGTGGCCCTGGGTTTTAATAATAACAGCAACAACAACAACAACAACAACAACAACAACAACAACAACAACAACAACAACAAAGCATATTTTAAAATCTGGTTGGCTTGCTGCAGTTTGGAGTTCTCAGCCGGATGTAATTGAGATGAAGAGAGACGAAGGAGGGATGGAATTTGCCAACTTAACCTATCGGCTATTTTGGGTGTCTCTCTCTTCCAAAGGATTGAATTGTGTAAATAATCTTTGGGGTGGAGCATCGAATTGGCACCGGCCCCGGAGACGAATTCCTGGGTAAGGCCACACTTGGCATATTGCATCCAGTTAAATCAAAAAGATGTTGAGACTCTAGAAAAAGTGCAGAGAAGAGCAACCAGGATGATGAGGGGACTGGAGGATAAAACATACGAAGAATGGTTGCTGGAACTGGGTATGTCTAGTCTGATGAAAAGAAGGATTAAGGGAGACACGATAGCAGTCTTCCAATATCTCAGGGGCTGCCCCAAAGAAGAGGGAGTCAAGCTATTCTCCAAAACCCCTGAAGGCAGGACAAGAAGCAACAGATGGAAACTGATCAAGGAGAGAAGCAACCTAGAACTAAGGAGGAATTTCCTGACAGTGAGAACAATTAATCAGTGGAACGACTTGACTCCAGAAGTTGTAAATGCTCCAACACCGGAAGTTTTTAAAAAGATGTTGGATAACCATTTGTCTGAAGTAGCGTAGGGTTTCCTGCCTAAGCAGGGGGTTGGACTAGATGGCCTCCGAGGTCCCTTCCCGCTTTGTTACTCTGTTGTTCAGTGCAATTTTGATGCAGTGGGGGGCTCTGCTTCCCCTTTCGACTCCTCCCTTCGCAACTATCTACACATCCCTCCCCCAGCCTGTGTTGCATTCTCAAGAGAACGTTTGTGTGTTTGTGCGTGTTGTTTATAAAAAAGGAAATACAAATGTTTTGCCCACCCTGCGATCCATTTGGTTTATGCACATCAGCAATTCAGGCAGACTTCGCTCCCCATCCTCTTCATCTTCCCGGGAAAAGATTAATGATGATAAAGCAGCGAAGGCCCAATTCTTTTTCTTTTCTTTTTTTTTCTTTTTTATTTCAGCCTCCCAACATTAGAATGATATAAATAAGACTCATAAATCCACCCTTCCCTCTCAACTGTATTCCCCAAGGCACCCACAGACAGAAGACAGGGGTAGTAGCTTCGTAGGACTTAGAAGAGACTGGTGGGAGATTAAACTCCTTCTAAGCAGCAGACTTACAGAATAACAGAGTTGGAAGGGACCTCGGAGGTCATCTAGCCCAACCCCCTGCTCAAGCAGGAGACCTTCTATACCGTCCCAGGCAAATGTCTATCCAGTCTCCTCTTAAAAACCTCCATGAATGGATCGCCCATAACTTCTGAAGGCAAGCGATTCCACCAATTAATTGTTCTCCTTAGTTCTAGGTTGGATCTTCCATCCTTGATAATCTTCCATCCATTCCTTATTGTCCTGCCTTCAGGCTGCTTTGGAGAATAAGTTGACCCCCCTCTTCTCTGTGGCAGCCCCTCAACTATTAGAAGACTGCTACCACGTTACCCCGAGCCCTTCGCTTCCTTAGACCAGCCTAACATGGAACCTAGAGTTGGGAGGGGTCTTGGAGATCTTCTAGTCCACCCCCCCCCTACTGAAACAAGAGACTCTCTAAGGTTTGCAACCAGCTTCTCCCCAGCCTCTCCTTAGAAACCCTCCGGTGATGGAGTACCCACAACTCCCTTTATTCTTGATTTATTTCTCCTGTTTTAACATTTCTTTCCCACCGTCAGAAATACGCTGACCCTGTATCGCCTTGATTCACTCCCGGAATGAAAAGCAGAGTATTGGGATCAAGAGGCTGCTTAGAGAAATTCTTTTTTTTTTTGTTCCTCGGGACACCCCAAACGCTTAGGAATCGAGCGTCGTTGGAAATCCTTGCACGCCTGCACTCCAGCCCACGGCAGCAAATGTTCAGCAGAGCAGATAAAAGCAGCTCGTATTCCTTTTTATTTGCCAGCTTGTTCCTTTGTTTAAAATTGGGTTGTTTTTTTTTAAAAAAAGGCTAGCATTAAAGAGTAAAGGAACGAGGGGAAAAGAAAACCCACCTCGATGCAGCCTCCAGGAGAAAAAAAAGAAAACCCAATGCCATAATATACGAGACAATAATTAAATTAGTAGCACTATTTTTTTTTTAGTCTCGTAGTAAAAAGTACCAACAACTACTACAAAATAACATCTGAAGGTTTTTTTTTTTAGTCTCGTAGTAAAAAGTACCAACAACTACTACAAAATAACATCTGAAGTTTTTTTTTTTTTAGTCTCGTAGTAAAAAGTACCAACAACTACTACAAAATAACATCTGAAGTTTTGCCAGCAGCCCGCTAAAAAAAAAAAAGCAAAAATCGACGAAGAGCTAATGAAATACATGGATGTGTACCAACATTTGGCTGCAAAAAAAAAAAAATTAGTTTCCAATGCTGGGTTTTAGGTCTTACAAATTTTCACTTCTTTCTTTGTTTCGCCCTGCCTTATAAAGCAACTTTCTGGCTTTGATCAGAAAATAAAGCTTGATTTGGAAGAAACATCGAGGGCCTGAAATCTGACGTCCCTTATCTGGAAATATTTTGGAGAATAGCAAATGCTCTCAGCCACGTTCAGCATCCTTTTCTCCAGAGCTAGCAGGAAAAAAAAAAAAAAGGCAGCTAGTCCTCAACTTACAATGGTTCATTTAGTGACCATTCCAAGTTATAACGGTCCTGGGAAAAAAGTGACTTATGACTGTTTTTCCACCCTTACGACCGTTGAAGCAGCCCTGCAGTCACCTGATCGAAAATTCAGATGTTTTGACAACTGACTCACATCTTATGGAGTCCCATGACTCCTTTTTTGCAACCTTCTGTCAAGCCAAATCCGTGGGGAAGCCAGGTTCACTTAATATATATCAAAGTTCAGAGTGTACGTTTTTCTTAAAGGCAACTTTCCAAACTAAAGATGGGGAAATTCTATATAGGATGCATATGGCAGCTCTAAAACAGATCGTGCCGACATGTTCGCTCCTAATAAATCTTTTGAAGTTTTTTGATTGAATTAGGGCAACGGCCGGAATCCCGACAGCATAATTTACTTCCTAACTTGGTCCCCTCTGGATGTTTTAGCTTCAACTCCCCATCATTCTTAGATGGCAATTTTGGAAATTGGAGCCCCTCACCCCCATGTCTAAAAAGGTAGAGGACTGGGCAGAAGTTACCCTCTCTGCTCATTTAGGAACGTAATAAAGATTGGCTTTATTTTGATGTATTAACCCAGCCTGGCGTGAGAAGCATCTCTCTTGCCTAAAGGCGAAGCGCTCAGGTCTACCTTGACCTCTCTTCTTCCAACAGGGCCACATTGGCACAACCGCAACAAAAATCATTGACGTCTACCTCCCACTCCACACCAACCAGGACAAGTTGCAACCCATGACTGTGGTGACGATTGCCAACGCCAAGGTGCAGGACCTGATCGGACTCATCTGCTGGCAATACACGAGCGAAGGACGGGAACCCAAGTTGAAGTAGGTCCCTTCAGGGGTCATCTTCTCTTTCTCTCTCTCCCTCCTTCCCTCCCTCCCTCTTCTCTCCCTCCCTCCCCCTCTTGTTCTCTCACTCCTTCCCTCACTCCTTCCCTCCCCTCTCTCCCTCTCTCTCTATCTCTCTCTTTCCATGGAACATTTTTTGCATAAGGAGATTGATTTTGACAGGTAAGTATGTAGGTAGATAAGTTGAAAATATGGGTAGATGGAGACACAGATAGACAGCCATGATGGATAGATGAATAGAAATTGATAGATGGATGGATGGATAGATAGATAGATAGATAGATAGATAGATAGATAGATATAGACAAATTAGATAGATAGATAGATAGATAGATAGATAGATAGATAGATAGATAGATAGAT